CTTTCTTTCTTTCTTTCTTTCTTTCTTTCTTTCTTTCTTTCTTTCTTTCTCTCCCTTTCTTCCTTTCTTCCTTGAAGGCCTCCCTGGAGCCTCCTGACAGCCAAAACGGGGCGCAAGGGTGTGTGCTACATCCCTGTGCCTCATTTCGGACCTAGAAATCCTCCCTGGACCCTCCTGACAGCCAAAATGTGGCATGGGGTGGCACCAGATGCCCCATGCCCTGTTTTGAGTCTAGAAAGCCTTGCTGGAGTCTCCTGACAGCCAAAATGGGGGGCAGGGGGTAGCACCAGACCCCCCCCCCGTGCCCTGTTTTGGGCCCAGAAAGCCTCCCTAGAGCTCTTGGCAGCCTCCCCATGTCCCGTTTTTTTCTTCTAAGAGGCTTCCCTACACTTATCTGGGAGTCAGAGGGGCCTCGTGGTGACTCCTGGGAGGGGTGGGGTGGGGTGGGCAGAGCCAGCTGGTGGTGGAACTACCAGTTCACTGAACTGGATATAAAATTAACATCTGTTTCATCTGAACCAGCATGAACTGGCTGAATCCCACCCCTGGATAGCAGTATAACTGTACAATTTCTTAAGCAATTTTTTATTATTTCTAAATTCAATGCAATTGTAATAGACTCAGTGTATAATTCCAGATTGAAAGAGGCTTGAAATCTTAATGAGATCTCATTAATTGTAATTTCTTCCTTAGGTCAGTGTTCTATTCTCTCTGAACTGAGTATCATTACATTTGATGGAAATAATGTAGCACTATATAAAGTAGGATCTTATATTTTAGTCAAATTACCCACAGAAATTATTGTGGCTCATATTGAAAAATGCCCAGCTAATCAGGTAGGAACCTTACATAGTATCTTGCAGAAATTAGCATTTCATATTTTAAACGCTAAAGATAGAAACAAAAAATTTACAATGCTTTGAAAATGTTTTGGGTTTCTATATTTGTAAACACATTTCCTAACATAAATATTAAAAAGTATGTTTCACTTATATATTATATCTGAAATATATTGTAAATGATTCTTGATAATTCCACATGAATAGAACTAATAATAGAAGTGTATTATTGAGCAAACTGACCTCGTAAGTTATAAATATTAACATCTAATACTACTCATATCTTCCCAAGAAAAATGTTTGAGTTTAATGGGGGTTAATGGGGGTTGTCAGATATTGAATTAGATTCAGAGCTTTTTAACTTTTTAACTGAAGATACAAATGTTCAGGACAAATCTGAAGGGTCTAATGCAAACATATATGAGAAGCAACTCTGAGAAGCAAGAGCCGAAGACAGAAGCGTGAAGATGATGAATGAGACTTCATCGAAACGTTGCCTAGATACTTCGAATCTTACGCGGGAGAAAACCCGAACAACCAAAGATCCATATATATATGTATATGTATATGTATTATATATATATATATGTATGTATGTATGTTAATAATTACTTTTATATATTACTATATATGTTAGTAATTACTCCAAGAAGCACAAAGCCAAAGACACAAGCCTGAAGACGACGAATGAGATTTCGTTGAAACATCGTCAAGATACTTCCAATTTTACGCGGGAGAAAACCCGAATAACAAAAGATACACACACACACACACACACACACACACACACACACACACACATGTTTTCTTAAGTTTTCGCGGGTACTTACATGCATGGCATTCAGCTTTGTTCGGGTATTTTCCCACGTCATTGTAGTTGTGCTTTTAAAGTTGTAGCAATGTTTCGGCAGAATCTCATCTGCCATCATCAGGCTTCTGATCAGATGAACACTATACAGAAGCCTGATGATGGCAGATGAGATTCTGC